GCACCACACTGCAGCACCACTCTGCAGCACCACTCTGCCTCACCACTCTCTCGCACCACTCTGCAGCACCACTCTGCATTACCACTCTCCCGCACCACTCTGCAGCACCACTCTGCAGCACCACTCTGCATTACCACTCTCCTGCACCACTCTGCCGCACCACTCTGCAGCACCACTCTGCTGCACCACTCTGCCGCACCACTCTGCTGCACCACTCTGCCGCACCACTCTGCAGCACCACCCTGCAGCACCACCCTGCAGCACAACTCTGCCGCACCACTCTCCTGCACCACTCTGCCGCACCACTCTGCAGCACCACCCTGCAGCACCACCCTGCATCACCACTCTGCCGCACCACTCTGCAGCACCACTCTGCCGCACGACCCTGCAGCACCACTCTGCAGCACCACCCTGCAGCACCACCCTGCAGCACCACTCTGTAGCACCACTCTGCTGCACCACTCTGCCGCACCACTCTGCAGCACCACTCTGCAGCACCACTCTGCTGCACCACTCTGCAGCACCACCCTGCAGCAGCACTCTGCTGCACCACTCTGCAGCACTACTCTGCAGCACCACTCTGCAGCACCACCCTGCCGCACCACTCTGCAGCACCACTCTGCCGCACCACTCTGCAGCACCACTCTGCCGCACCACTCTGCAGCACCACTCTGCAGCACCACTCTGCAGCACCACCCTGCCGCACCACTCTGCTGCACCACTCTGCCGCACCACTCTGCCGCACCACTCTGCAGCACCACTCTGCAGCACCACTCTGCAGCACCACTCTGCTGCACCACTCTGCAGCACCACTCTGCAGCACCACTCTGCAGCACCACCCTGCCGCACCACTCTGCAGCACCACTCTGCAGCACCACTCTGCAGCACCACTCTGCAGCACCACTCTGCAGCACCACTCTGCTGCACCACTCTGCCGCACCACTCTGCAGCACCACCCTGCCGCACCACTCTGCAGCACCACTCTGCAGCACCACTCTGCAGCACCACCCTGCCGCACCACTCTGCAGCACCACTCTGCTGCACCACTCTGCAGCACCACTCTGCAGCACCACTCTGCTGCACCACTCTGCAGCACCACTCTGCAGCACCACTCTGCAGCACCACTCTGCAGCACCACTCTGCAGCACCACTCTGCCGCACCACTCTGCAGCACCACCCTGCAGCACCACTCTGCAGCACCACTCTGCAGCACCACTCTGCTGCACCACTCTGCAGCACCACTCTGCTGCACCACTCTGCAGCACCACTCTGCAGCACCACTCTGCAGCACCACCCTGCCGCACCACTCTGCAGCACCACTCTGCTGCACCACCCTGCAGCACCACTCTGCAGCACCACTCTGCAGCACCACTCTGCAGCACCACTCTGCCACACGACAAAGTCTTCCCCATGCCACATTACCCCATCACCCCTACACTACTGCATCTGGCAAGGATAACTGGTAGGGCGCTTCAGTGGATAAGGGAGTACCTAAGCAATAGGAAGCAAAGAGTTACAGTGAGGGGTGAGACCTCAGATTGGCATGAAGTCACCAATGGAGTCCCACAGGGCTCTGTACTCGGACCTATCCTGTTTCTGATATATGTAAATGATCTCCCAGACGGTAAACGTCCCACCACAGAGACGTTTTTTCAGTGTCAGAGTAGTTAATAAATGGAATGCACTAAGAAGTCATGTGGTGGAGACTCCATACACAGTTTCATGTGTAGATATGATAGAGCCCAGTAGGCTCAGGAATCTGTACACCAGTTGATTGACAGTTGAGAGGCGGGACCAAAGAGCCAAAGCTCAACCCCCGCAAGCACAATTAGGTGAGTACACAGAGAACACCAGGTAGCAAAACCACATCTCAGCTCCTAGCTAAAAGTCATCCAGTGCCCCCCACCCCCTCCCCCCGCCCCCACAGAGCAGAAGCCAGCCGCCCACCACGGCTGAGGGCACACCTGGAGCCCAGCACGGCTGAGGGCACACCAGGAGCCCACCACGGCTGAGGACACACCAGGTGCCCACCACGGCTGAGGGCACACCTGGAGCCCAGCACGGCTGAGGGCACACCAGGAGCCCACCACGGCTGAGGACACACCAGGAGCCCACCACGGCTGAGGACACACCAGGAGCCCACCACGGATGAGGGCACACCAGGAGCCCACTACGGCTGAGGACACACCAGGAGCCCACCACGGCTGAGGGCACACCAGGAGCCCACCACGGCTGAGAGCACACCTGGAGCCCACCACGGCTGAGGGCACACCAGGAGCCCACCACGGCTGAGGGCACACCTGGAGCCCAGCACGGCTGAGGACACACCAGGAGCCCACCACGGCTGAGGGCACACCTGGAGCCCACCACGGCTGAGGACACACCAGGAGCCCACCACGGCTGAGGACACACCAGGAGCCCACCACGGCTGAGGACACACAAGGAGCCCACCACGGCTGAGGGCACAGCAGGAGCCCACCACGGCTGAGGACACATCAGGAGCCCACCACGGCTGAGGACACACCAGGAGCCCACCACGGCTGAGGACACACCAGGAGCCCACCACGGCTGAGGGCACACCAGGAGCCCACCACGGCTGAGGACACACCAGGAGCCCACCACGGCTGAGGGCACACCAGGAGCCCACCACGGCTGAGGGCACAGCAGGAGCCCACCACGGCTGAGGACACACCAGGAGCCCACCAAGGCTGAGGACACACCAGGAGCCCACCACGGCTGAGGACACACCAGGAGCCCACCACGGCTGAGGGCACACCAGGAGCCCACCACGGCTGAGGGCACACCAGGAGCCCACCACGGCTGAGGGCACACCAGGAGCCCACCACGGCTGAGGACACACCAGGAGCCCACCACGGCTGAGGGCACAGCAGGAGCCCACCACGGCTGAGGGCACACCAGGAGCCCACCACGGCTGAGGCCACACCAGGAGCCCACCACGGCTGAGGCCACACCAGGAGCCCACCACGGCTGAGGACACACCAGGAGCCCACCACGGCTGAGGGCACACCAGGAGCCCACCACGGCTGAGGGCACACCAGGAGCCCACCACGGCTGAGGACACACCAGGAGCCCACCACGGCTGAGGGCACACCAGGAGCCCACCACGGCTGAGGGCACACCAGGAGCCCACCACGGCTGAGGACACACCAGGAGCCCACCACGGCTGAGGGCACACCAGGAGCCCACCACGGCTGAGGGCACACCAGGAGCCCACCACGGCTGAGGGCACAGCAGGAGCCCACCACGGCTGAGGACACACCAGGAGCCCACCACGGCTGAGGGCACAGCAGGAGCCCACCACGGCTGAGGACACACCAGGAGCCCACCACGGCTGAGGGCACACCAGGAGCCCACCACGGCTGAGGGCACACCAGGAGCCCACCACGGCTGAGGGCACACCAGGAGCCCACCACGGCTGAGGCCACACCAGGAGCCCACCACGGCTGAGGACACACCAGGAGCCCACCACGACTGAGGACACACCAGGAGCCCACCACGGCTGAGGACACACCAGGAGCCCACCACGCCCGCCAGGCGAGCGCCTTAATCACAACAATAAGGGGGCTTTGCTAATTTACAAAAAATTTAGTAAATTTAGCTAATTTAATATAAAATCCACCTGTCTTAGGGCTGGTTACACAATAACATGAATATACTAAAATAAATATATAGTAAATAAAAAGTTCACATCAAATCCGTTCCTCCTTCCGGATCTGAGAATGTAATGAGGCCTGTGTGAGGCAGGTGGAGGTAGTGGGAGGCGGCGGCAGCCATACTATGGAGGGTTGTGTCACACTGACTGCTCACAGGAGCTCACTCCCACAACACAAATTTACTCCCAGCGGGTCCAAGAAAGCCGCGCGACTCACATTAGTTGCTATTTGCGGCCGAGACTACGCAACCTCAGAATAAGGGAAGTGCCAGTTCGGTTCATTTTTGCTCAGATATATTGGCCAACTCTCCCCACCCACAATGGTAGGAGTTTCTAACTAACCACACTTAAGTGCTACATTGGAATCATATCTGTTGTTTTTAGTTGTTACTTTGTATTATTTCCCCTCGGGTACATTGTGAACACACCAGACGGTCACCATTAATACAGGTCCCACTACTCACGGTCACCATTAATACAGGTCCAGGACTGACCACATGAGGCAGACCGAGTCAGGTGCTGGAGGACCAGCTCTCACACTACAAACCTAACATTAAAACATGAAACGTCCCCAAAATGTGTGAAGTGAAGTTTACTGGTGACAATAAATCATAAAATACAGTCCAATTAGACGTAATTAATACAATTAAATACAATTCATTGAATTAATAATCAAAGCAATCACCGGTAGATTCCCCCACACTGTTCACTCTAGCCTATCACCGCACTCTGCCACCTGGCAGCACCCTGCCACATTACAACAACTCTCACTAAGAGCTGTACTCACCCACAAGCACAGCGGGGACACTCTTGCCACACCACAACTCTCAGTAAGAGCTGTACTCACCCACAAGCACCGCGGGGACACTCTTGCCACACCACAACTCTCAGTAAGAGCTGTACTCACCCACAAGCACCGCGGGGACACTCCTTCCACATCACAACTCTCACTAAGAGCTGTACTCACCCACAAGCACCGCGGGGACACTCTTGCCACACCACAACTCTCAGTAAGAGCTGTACTCACCCACAAGCACCGCGGGGACACTCTTGCCACACCACAACTCTCAGTAAGAGCTGTACTCACCAACAAGCACCGCGGGGACACTCTTGCCACACCACAACTCTCAGTAAGAGCTGTACTCACCAACAAGCACCGCGGGGACACTCTTGCCACACCACAACTCTCAGTAAGAGCTGTACTCACCCACAAGCACCGCGGGGACACTCTTGCCACACCACAACTCTCAGTAAGAGCTGTACTCACCAACAAGCACCGCGGGGACACTCTTGCCACACCACAACTCTCACTAAGAGCTGTACTCACCCACAAGCACCGCGGGGACACTCTTGCCACACTCGCGCCTCACCTCCGGCACCCACACCGTCTTCACGTTCTCCAGAGACGTTCGGTTCACCAGCTCAAAACACACCAAGAAAACGCTTGTCTGTGGGTGAAGGAATATGTTACTCTCCATGAACGTTTTTGGTGTGAACGTTGATCATGCATAATGTGAACAATTAATTAATGTTCATTTAGAATAATTAGTTAAATGATAAATATGATAAATATTTGATAAATGATAAATAAAAAATGATATCAAGTAATCATTACTTATATTATAACAAAGGGGTGTTATTAAAGAAAGGGGGTTATATCTTATGGTTATCTCGAGAGGATTTCGGGGCTTAGCGTCCCTGCGGCCCGGTCCTCGACCAGGCCTCCATTTTGTAACCCCCCCCCCCAACCTCCAGGAAGCATCCCATAGCAGCTGTCTAACTCCCAGGTGCCTATTTACTGCTAGGTGAACAACAGATATTTCATCAACTCACTTCATCATGATGCTGGAGCCGCATGAGTAACATTTGTGCGTCTAGCTTGAATGGTTCCCAAGCCAACATGCATCAGAAAGCTCTTTGGTTGAGTGGTTATAGTACTGGACATGCCAAGAGGTATGGAGGCCCTGGCTGCCCGAGTTCGAATCCTTCAGGGGTCAAAAGTTTTCTGATGCATGTTGGCTTGGGGACCATTCAAACTTGACGCACAAATTTTACTCATGCGTTTACGCTTGCAGCGGTGTTGTGATGATTTCCTGACTCATCACTTGATGAGTGTTTGTGATACTTGGATTCATGATGCCAAACGGTGCAGCTAAAGGGTCATTATCAAGGTTTATTCAACAAATAATTTACATACAGTTTTTTGTGTTGATCGTATGAAAGTGTGTTGACCGTATGAAAGTGTGTTGACCGTATGAAAGTGTGTTGACCGTATGAAAGTGTGTTGATCATATGAAAGTGTGTTGATCATATGAAAGTGTGTTCATCATATGAAAGTGTGTTGACCATATGAAAGTGTGTTGACCATATGAAAGTGTGTTGACCATATGAAAGTGTGTTGACCATATGAAAGTGTGTTGATCATATGAAAGTGTGTTGACCATATGAAAGTGTGTTGACCATATGAAAGTGTGTTGACCATATGAAAGTGTGTTGACCATATGAAAGTGTGTTGACCATATGAAAGTGTGTTGACCATATGAAAGTGTGTTGACCATATGAAAGTGTGTTGACCATATGAAAGTGTGTTGATCATATGAAAGTGTGTTGACCGTATGAAAGTGTGTTGACCGTATGAAAGTGTGTTGACCATATGAAAGTGTTTTGACCGTATGAAAGTGTGTTGACCGTATGAAAGTGTGTTGACCATATGAAAGTGTGTTGACCGTATGAAAGTGTGTTGACCGTATGAAAGTGTGTTGACCGTATGAAAGTGTGTTGACCATATGAAAGTGTGTTGACCGTATGAAAGTGTGTTGACCGTATGAAAGTGTGTTGACCATATGAAAGTGTGTTGACCATATGAAAGTGTGTTGACCGTATGAAAGTGTGTTGACCGTATGAAAGTGTGTTGACCGTATGAAAGTGTGTTGACCATATGAAAGTGTGTTGACCGTATGAAAGTGTGTTGACCGTATGAAAGTGTGTTGACCGTATGAAAGTGTGTTGACCGTATGAAAGTGTGTTGACCATATGAAAGTGTGTTGACCATATGAAAGTGTGTTGACCGTATGAAAGTGTGTTGACCGTATGAAAGTGTGTTGACCATATGAAAGTGTGTTGACCGTATGAAAGTGTGTTGACCGTATGAAAGTGTGTTGACCGTATGAAAGTGTGTTGACCATATGAAAGTGTGTTGACCGTATGAAAGTGTGTTGACCGTATGAAAGTGTGTTGACCGTATGAAAGTGTGTTGACCGTATGAAAGTGTGTTGACCGTATGAAAGTGTGTTGACCATATGAAAGTGTGTTGACCATATGAAAGTGTGTTGACCATATGAAAGTGTGTTGACCGTATGAAAGTGTGTTGACCATATGAAAAGTGAATGTTTACTTGTTGTTCTCTTAGAGTTGTTATCTTACCATCACATTAATTACATATAATATCTTTCGTACTAATTAAATGTTATGTGAAATTTGTTGATAAATATTTAAATGTATGAATGAAATAATAATTACGGAACTCTGAATAACAGTAATTACGACATTGCAAAGCCTGGAGCATTTTCGTTATATGTGAATATATGAAGCAAGGAATGAACGAAAATATGGATTTTCGTCCCCAAAACGTTGCCAGAAATATTCGAATCTATATTACTTCTAATGATGTTACTAACATTAGCAACAGACAGAAATTACTTGTATTAAATTTATCTGAGTATTTTTAAGAATTCAATTACAAAAAAATACAAATATTATCGGTCAACTCTCCAGAACCGACGCTAATTTTGACCGTTTCACTGGCGAAATAATTAAAAATATTTACCTTTTTGTTCGTTGCCTTAAAAATAAAGCTCAAATTAGAGGATAAAAGCTAGGCTTCCTTTTGATGTTAAAGAAATGAGAGAAATTTGAATATTAACGGTGGTTATCGTGTAGGAGTTGAACCACAACACCCGCCACCAGGATATCTTTTTCACTTGATTCCTGGAGAGAAGGATCAATGCATGAATGTTCGTAATAAGGCAAATAGGACACTGGGGTTTATTAATCGAAGCATTAGTAACAAGACACCTGGTGTGGTTCTTCAGCTATATCTAGCTCTGGTTAGGCCCTATTTAGATTATGCAGTTCAGTTTTGGTCGCCGTACTATAGAATGGATATAAATTCACTTGAACGTGTCCAGCGTAGGATGACTAAGTTAATCCTTCCTGGAGAGAAGGATTAATATCGTGGAACGAAGCGAAATGCTGCAAGAATCATCCCACACATTATGAACCACTTGTAATGGGCGTAGAACCTGTTGAAACTGCCACCACCAGATGGCTCCTGCATCCCTTGGTGAGGTGGTGACACCCCAGCTGGCTCCTGCGTCCCTTGGTGAGGTGGTGACACCCCAGCTGGCTCCTGCGTCCCTTGGTGAGGTGGTGACACCCCAGCTGGCTCCTGCGTCCCTTGGTGAGGTGGTGACACCCCAGCTGGCTTCATGAGTCCAATTACCAAAAGAGCACAAGAAGGGTTCCCTTCTTGTGCTCTTTCCCTAAATTCGGTTGCCTTGCTTGTAATTCCATTTATATTCGAGTACATTACCTGGAAGCTGACTCTATTTTGTCCATCCTCAATTTCTGTTGATTCCACTGGAGTTGGGAGGCAAGGGGTGTCCGGTGTGGGAGAACCCAGGAAGGAAGACCTGGGGGATCTGGGGTGTGAGGGGGTTGGGGGGATCTGGTACAAGGGGGCTAACAAGGTCTTAGATGGTGTGGCTGAGAGGGTATGGGGTTGGGGGTTAGTTAGGGCATGGAATGGAGGGGGGGGTATTTGTTGGGGTGAGGGAGGGAGGTCACGGGTTGAGGTATGCAACGGTGTCTGGGTGGGTTGACAGGGTAGTTAGGGGTTGGAGAGGGAAAGGGAGCCTGGAGAGTGGGACAGGGAGGGAGGGAGGGAGGTGGGTTAGGAAGGAGATCTTGGGGTGGGGAAACTGGGAAGGGTATGGGCTGGAGAAACAGGGGAGGGTATGGGGTGCGGAAACAGGGAAGGTCTTGGGTGGGCGAAGGAGGGCTGGGGAAGGGGGGGGACATGGGAGGGGCTGGGGTCAGGGAGCATGGGGGACATGGTCTGAAGAGAGACTTTACTGTCTGAGGAGGTGCAGGTGATTGGTGGGGGGTGTTTGTGGGGTGGGATGGTAGGAGGCTTATGTTACATTCCTCCCTGAGGGTGCTGGTCTGCTGGTGGGGGGATTCCCACTCCCCTCCGTAGGTACTGGAGATAATGAGCCGAGTCCTGTGGCTCCTACATCCCCAACCCTTTCTTTGCATCTCTTCCTTGCATCTGCAGCTTTCCTTCTCTCTTCCTTCATTATGTCCCTTTGCAGAAAGACTTCGTTGAATCCCCTAACATCATTAAGTTTGCTCTTCCTGGATAGGATTTCCTCTTTTTTTGTCTCGTTTATGAGCAATCAATCGTTTATCAATCGTTTCCTTTCCTTCTAGTAGCCACCCAGCCTGAAAACCTCTTTGTTGGCATTAGACCCTTTCATATGCAGACCCTCCAAGATCTCTGTCACAGTTGCTCGGTCCTTACTTCTCCACTCCTCCTGGTTGGATCCTTCCGGTTCCTGTACTCCTACAACTATAACAGCTCTTTTTCTTTCCAGCATTTGTTCAGTGCACTTTGCAGCTTCCTGTGATGTACCTGCTTTCATAGTTGCTTCCTCTAAAGCGGTCTTGGAACTTGGGTTGCATTGCAGCATTTCTGCAAAAATTTATGTGTTTCCAAGCAATTCTGTGTGTGTGTGTGTCTGGGGGAAAAAGTTGATTGATTGTCAGTTGAGAGGCGGGCCAAAAGAACATAGATCAACCCCAGCAAGCACAAACTAGGTCAATACACCGTTAGTAATACACATACTCGGTGACATACATCCTGGATGACACATCCTGTCACCAGCGACGCCAGGAAAGAGGAAAAGATGAACACTTTAGTGACGTCAGAAAAAATGATAAAACGTTTGCCCGAGTGCCGGCACGGAGGAGGAAAAGTTGTTTGAGGAGGGAAGGTTGACATGATCACCAGATAACATATGATCACAAGACAACACATGATCACCAGACAACACATGATCACCAGATAACATATGATCACAAGACAACACATGATCACCAGATAACATATGATCACAAGACAACACATGATCACTAGACAACATATGATCACCAGACAACACATGATCACCAGACAACACATGATCACCAGACAACATATGATCACCAGACAACACATGATCACCAGATAACATATGATCACAAGACAACACATGATCACCAGACAACACATGATCACCAGACAACACATGATCACCAGACAACACATGATCACCAGACAACACATGATCACCAGACAACACATGATCACCAGATAACATATGATCACAAGACAACACATGATCACCAG